TCGTGAGTCGTCAGCCGTAAGTCGTCAGCCGTCAGTGGTCAGTCGTCAGTCGTCAGCCGTGAGTCGTCAGTCTTGAGTCGTCAGCCGTGAGTCGTCAGTCGTGAGTCGTCAGCTTATAGAGCCACTTTAGATGTAAAATTTTCATGAAGATTGTTATTCTAAGTAAAAATAATACAGTAGCATTTTACATGCTGATTCCGTGTTTAGTTTTAATCGTGCAGTAGTGTAATGACATTTGTTGTTCACTATAATTTGATATTAATTTTCTCTGATAATTTTATGAAACTTTTTTTTTGTTTTTGTTATTGCAAAGTATAATTACACAACAGTGTTTGTGATTTCCCCGGTGTTTTCGGAATTATCCTACGTACATGGGGTAATTCCGATGGTTTTATTTTTGACATAAATTTTTATTTTATAATAATATTTTTTAAAAACTGCTTTTGAGCATGGGCGCCAGCTTTATTTTTTGATTTTTCAGTTAGGACACTTTAAAACATTATCATTCGTGATTAACCAGGGCTATAGAAAAAATGGAATACTTATATGAGGTATTGTTATTTTGGTTTCATTAGATAATTATCTTGAATTAATTAAATTAACTTCAGTATCCAGCTATTTAGCGTTTTTCTTAACAAATATAGATTCTGTACGTTTATAGATATTTCAGCTTAATTTAAGACGCGTTAAAATGTTTATAATTGTTGGTTTCCCAATATTGTCGTTGATCTGATTAAAGAATAACTCAATGAATGATTGTATTGATCAGACGTTTTCTAAGACCGTATTGCATGAAATAACCATATAACATGACTACTTTTTTTTAAATAGGAAAAAAATTCTTTAAATTTTTTATAACTAAATTTATAACTAAAAAAAAAATCGCAGACAGAGGAAGATTAAACAACTGAACAAGCCAATTTCTGAACTATCAATAAGAGATCAACGTGAAACTCTCAAAAAATGGAAAAGAAATAAATAGTAATAATAATGAAAATAATAATAATGATAATAATAATAATACAATATAAGAGCACAATACTAAAAAAACATAATGGTCCAAATGGTATAAATACCCATAAAACAGGTTAGTTTAAATTAGTTAGTCCAAATGGTATAAATACCCTTAATACAGGTAGTTTAACTTAATTACTTAATATCTAATTATGGTATTTTGTTTATTGTTTTTTAAATAGATTTGGTTGAAAATAGGCTCAATGGTGTCCTAACTGTGTTGTTCATGGAACATTCTGGTCCCCACAAAAATCACAAATTTGTTTGGCGAAAGTCAAAATATGTAGACGTTATGAAAACTAATATTTTGTGTACGATTCCACAAGAATCACTTCAAACAGAATCCAAGTCTCAAGCAATTTTCAATTCCTCAATACTGATGACATTGAAGAACTATTTGCCCAAAAAAAAACAATACTTACAAGTGTTATTGTATAGACTATCATAGTCATGAGTCAACTGTTTCATGCGCTTAATACCTCGTTAAAGAACAACAATAATATGCTTATTTGAATTTGTTTTCATTAAAAAAATTTGTTGTCACTTCTGTAACATATGAGTCATTTTATTAACTTTTAAATCATTTCTGTTACTCGTAGGTTTATTACATTCAAAGTTTATTTTCATTTAATTTGCAGATTTTATCAATCATTTTTCATTAGAATATCATGTTCTACAGCTTGTCTATCAATTTAAATACTGTAGGTTTGTTTATCTTTAGTTTATCTTAATTTATGACATTATATCTTTTGGTGTGGGTGCTGTTCATTTTGTTAAATGTAAAAGTTGTGTGTTTAAATATATATATACATATATATATATATATATATATATATATATATATATATATATATATATATATATATATATATATATATATATATATATATATATATATATATATATATATATATATATATATATATATATATATATATATATATATATATATATATATATAGGCTCGCCCAGAGCTTTTGTGATACCCGAGTCCAAAATTTTAATGGATGCCCTATCTTACTTTAGGACTTAAAATGACAAATACCAAATAAATTAATATAGTTATTTTTTGTTTGCTTTCATAGAAAACCAAAAATCACATTTAATTAATTTTGGTTTTTAAAAACAAACTATTGTAAAATTAAGTCTTATTATCGAACGCATTTTCTTCGCCCTCTTTGCGGTAAAAATAACTATTTCATAAGAAATGTTATAGGCTAAATCTGGTTTAATTGAAAGGATGATTAAGTAGCACAATCGCTCTTGGTCCATTGTAAAACAAAGATAATCTTTAATGATAGCTAACTTGCTAAAAGATCTTTCACCTTCAGATGTTGGCAATATTTGAAAGATTCTAAGTGAAACATTCGCTTGTGGAAATATTGAATGCAACCCCTTTGCATAAACTTCATTTAGATGTTCATCAGACTTTTTTTGCCTATAATAATTCTTCTTACGGAAAAAAAATGCAAAACTTCATCAGAAAATTTGTTTGTACATAAGGTAACGTTTTGCCAGATTCTTAGCCTTTAAACCTAGTTCTTTGTCTGTTTGAGATTTATATGAAGACCAAAGGAAGAAAAACTTGTTACATTCCTCTTATATTACTTTAAATCTTGATCTCATTTGAATAGCCAAATTGTCGAGTGCAACATTGAAGATATTGCACTCAAAGTTTTTTGATACTTCTTCGTGATTGTGACTAGCAATTTCATCAGGTAAGACATTCTTTTTTTGCTTCCTCTTCACAGAAAACATAATTTCAATAAATTTCAAGATCTTTGAAACTTGTGTTGCCTTTATCTGGTATAATTAGGCCCCAAGACAAACAGTTTCGATCTAGATCTGCCAAAAGATCAATTCAGAATCCTTACTAAATTATCAAGAGTGAGTTGAGTGGATTGAAGCTGAAAACTCACATTGTTAAATACCATCAAACATGTAAACCAAGAAGTAGTAAAAATAAAAAATTCAAAAAAATTCGTCTATTTAGTTAAATATTGCACTTCATTACTACTTTCACCTGGAAGGTCTAACTCTTTTAGACGACGTAATGATTTAAAGATCTTTTTGGCTAGTGGCTTGACTGTTTCAGTTCTTAAGCTCCATTGTGTAACAGAAAATTTGTTTAATGATTGGCCTGTCTTTTTCTAAAGAACTTTTCAACGAACTGAGCTGCAACTGAGCAGATTGTATAGTTTTTGAATATTTCCTAAATAGGATTTTGCAGAAGCCGATGATTCAATAACATGTACTGCATATAAGTTTAAACTGTGAGCAGAGCAAGGAATGAAAATTGCTTGTTGATTATTCTGCCAAATCCAAGCTTGAACTCCATTGTAAATACCTGCCATATTAGTGCCATTGTTGTAGTGTTGACCACAACAATTTTTTGTGTCAAACTTAGTCTCTTCCAACTCATTTAACATCAACTTTGTTATATCAGATCTTTTCTTTTTTTCAAGTAATTCTAGTTTAAGGAACCTTTCTTTGACCTCCCATTGATGTTTATCACTGAAATGCAAAAGACGAAAAATAAAAGTAATTTGTCCGCTGTGGAAGTGCTATCCGTGATGATGATCGAACATATGAATTTTTTGATTACTTCTAAAACCATTATACGCGATAAATTCATTCTCTGATTTTCAAGAATAAGTAATAAGCTTGCATACGCTTTTCTTCTTCTTGGTACTTATCGAAAAGCTCCAAAATATTTCCATTCCTATTTTTGAACACTTTTTGATTTGATTCTAATTGCAAACCAAAAATTATGAAAAATAGTATTCCATATTTATATCCAATTATAACTTATAATTTTGATTTTTAAATTATAAATAAAATAATGCAAAATATAATTTAAAATTTAAAAACCATATTCTTACTCCTAAACGCTTAATTTCATGAAAAATTGTAAAATCAAGAATGCAGTATAAAATTACATTTTATCGTTATTTCGAAAAGTTGCAAAAAATTTTTTATAAAGAAATTCAAAAGTTTTTATTTTTTGCTATTAAATGTTAAGTTGACTCGATTTAAACAATTTTCAGTAAGTTTAGTTACTTTTTTTTTTATTTCTTTAATAATTTTATGAATGTGTTTTGAGAACTTTGTTAAATCTTTTTTTTTTTTAAATTGTAGAAATAATTTTATCTTAAAAAATATTCTGTCTCATGTCACATAAAATTTCAAATTCGAGAAAAAAGTTGTCTGGTTATGAGTACAGAAAAAGAAAGTCCGTTAAAGATCAAAAATTTGAAAAAATTAAAAAATTCATGATTGAAAAATATGTTGCTTATAAAAAACCTGACGAAGGTCGTGAAGATTTTAACCCTGATGCTTCAACTATCTCTACGACTATGTCCAATAAAATTGGAGAACCTTTAACAATACTTAAAAATAGTTGTATAACTTCATTGCAAATTGAAGTAGATAATGAACCAGTTATTTTAAAAGAATCGAATGATTTATCGGAAGATTTTTTACAAGAAACACCTAATTTATTGGATTGTGGAAATTGGCCAATTGTTCGATCTAGCAACTTTGTGGACCATTTGATAAAACTTAGTCCTTTTTAAATTACAAAGGAAAAATACCCTGAAGATAGAAATGGTCGACATTTTTCTAGCATTTATTACAATAGAAAGCTTGCGAATGGAGAAACCTTTTGCCGTAGATGGTTGGTTTATTCAGATTCTAAAAACTCCGTATTTTGTTTTTGCTGTCTACTTTTTGATAATAATTCAAAGTCAAACTTAGTCTCTGATGGTTTTAAGAAATGGAGACATTTAACTGAAACATTGGGAATTCATGAAAACAGCGTCTCTCATATGAAATGTTATCAACAGTGGGTAGAAACTGAAATAAGATTAAAAACTGGAAAAACTATAGATAATGAAGAAATTAAAATTATAGAAAAAGACAGTTTGCAATGGCAAAATGTTATTCTTCGGCTGATGAATATCACTCTTTACCTAGCTGAAAATAATATGGCTTTTCGAGGGAGTTTGGATAAACTGTTTACGCCTCAAAACGGCAAATTCTTAGGACTAATACAGATGCTTGCAAAATTTGATCTTGTGATGCAAAAGCATTTAGCACTTGCAATAAAAGGTGACACTTCAGACCATTATTGCGGGAAAAATATTCAAAATGAGTTAATAGATTTAATGTCTCAAAAGGTTAATGATGAAATAATAAACCGAGTCTTGAAAGCCGTTTACTATCCAATCATTGCTGATTGTACACCTGATATTTCTAGAAAAGAACAACTTTCTTTTACTATTCGAATTGTTGACTTGTCATTAGACATTAGAGTGGAAATTAAAGAGTACTTTTTAGGATTCTTTTCTGTTTCTAATTCTACAGGCTTAGGACTTACTGAGGTTTTAATCGAGTTGCTAACTAAGTATGGACTTGAAATCTCTAACTGCAGAGGTCAAGGGTATGATAATGGATAAAATATGAAAGGAAAGATTAATGGTGTACAAAAAAGGATTTTAAATCTTAATCCTTTAGCATTATATGTTCCTTGCGGCAACCAAGGCTTAAATTTGGTAATAAGTGACTCTGCACGGTCTTCAGTAAAATCTATAGCTTTTTTCGGTATTCTTCAGAGATTGTTTACTCTATTCTCAGCTTCAGTGAGCCGATGGAAAATTTTAATTGATCATGTTAAAATTTTGCATTTAAAGAAACTCTGTGACACGCGGTGGGAAGCAAAAATAAGTAGTGTTGTTCATTTTTAGAAAACAATAGAAAATGTGGTTTTAAAGATGCAATTATAAAAACAAAGGATTTGGCTATAGAATTACAAGTGGAGCCTGTTTTTAAACCACTTAAAAGAATAATACGAGTGAAACGCCATTTTGACGAACCAGCCCAAGATGGGATTTATTTATTTTCTCCTGAAAAAAAATTAGAAATCGATTTCTTCAATCCTCTTTTAGACACATCTTTAATTTCAATGAGAGAAAGATTTATACAGTTGGAGAATTATTCCGAAGTTTGGGGTTTTTTGTATAATGTCGATAGTTTGCAGAAAAGAGAAGAAATTCTAAAATCATGTTTAGCTCTTCTAAGTAAACTTACCGTAAATCTAAAATCGGATATTAATGGTATTCTCCTTTGTGATGAACTGATGAGCATTAAACCTTTTCTTTCTGAAATGGTCAAGGATAAAATTACTCCTATTATTGTTTTAAACTTTATAAAACAGCACAAAATGCAAGATTTTTATCCAAACACATGGATTGCAATGCGAATTTTGCTAACAATACCTGTCACTGTAGCGAGTGGAGAAAGAAGCTTTTCCAAAATGAAACTAATAAAAACCTATCTGCGTTCAACAATGTCGCAGGATAGACTTTCAAGTTTAGGAACCCTATCGATTGAAAAGAATATTGCTGAAAATCTTGATTTTTCAACCCTAATTAAAGATTTTTGTGATAAGAAGGCTCGTAAGATAATTTTAAAAAACTAAATGTATTTTGTGTAAAACATAAACAAAAAATGTTTCTTTGTATGTAGCGTTTTATTGCAAAGTATTATTTTTGAATTCGATTTGTTATTATTTTCCATGTAATTTACCAGCACGTTTATAAAATTTTTGGGGCGGCAGGACAAATTTTGCACGGGGGCGGCAAAAGGCTAAGGCCGGCACTGTATATATATATGCATATATCTAGTACTGCTTAGTTAGGTGAGCGTGATGACGTCATACTGAAATAGCCTGTTGCCGGGGGCTTCAGTACATACATCGACTGACAAATAGCCTGACTCGCAGTGGAGTGCTGCTACATCGACTGAGGGTTTGGTATGGGTCAGCAACCTTTTCATTCATTATTCTTCGTTTTCCCTCATTGTTTTTAAAAAATCTCACTTAATTTAGGCTAGCAAAAAAAGTGAGCAATTGCACATATAAATATGCTATAGTAGATATATATATATATATATATATATATATATATATATATATATATATATATATATATATATATATATATATATATATATATATATATATATATATATATATATATATATATATATATATATATATATATATATATATATATATATATATATATATATATATATATATATATATATATATATATATATATATATATATATATACTCTTGCATGTCTCTTGCGTGGCATCAAAAAATGTTTCCCATAAACTGTAGTTTTAAAGAGCGCGTTAATAAACCAGACCAGAAAAAGTTTTTAAAATTAATTTTTTTTTTTTAATTGATAGACTGCCTGGCCAAACCAAACCCTTAGTCGATGTAGCAGCACTCTCTTGCGAGTCAGGCTATTTGTCAGTCGTTGTAGCAGCACTCCCTTGCGAGTCAGGCTATTTGTCAGTCGATGTAGCAGCACTCTGTTGCGAGTCAGGCTGTTTGTCAGTCGATGTAGCAGCACTCCGTGAAAAGAGACTTTTTTTACATTAAACGACTCTTTCGACTACACTATAAGGATATATATATATATATGTATATATATATATATATATAGAGGCGATTTTACGGGTGTGTGTGTGGGGTGTTACACCCCACTAAAGAAAGTGATTTTCAAGTTATGGTCGGTTTTTTTACTAATTTAGTCTGCTGAACGGCAGTTTGACACTAATTCGGTTAAAGTTTTGAGGACCTTATTATTTTTTTTTAGTCGGTATTTTTTTAAAATTCACCCTCCCCCTACCTTATATTCCATATTATGTATTCCATCGTACCAGGCGTTTAAAGAAACTTTTACTTTCCTTATTTGACACCGGGGACTAAAATCTTTGACGTTTTTTTGTTTTGTACTCGTTCTATAGTAATTTTAATGTGTAATTTTTTAACGGTTTTTACGTTATCAATGCGGCTATTGATAACGTAAAAACCGTTCAAAAATAAAGTCACTTTAGGCCACCTAGAAGCAAATTATAATTATTTATTTATCGTTTCATACTTTACATATTCGCAGCTACATGGATATTTAGTGATATGGTTTTAAGGCGAAAAAGATATTAAAAACAACAGCTTAAAACCAACTTACAAATTTATTTATAAAAAATAAATCATAAAAAACCTTATTAATATCTAAAACACAAAAAACCTATGCATCAACCATCAAACTATCAGTGCTAGAATTATAATACAATAAATTATCTGTAATTATATGCTGTTCAAGAGTGGATATTTTTTTCTTAGTCTTATTTATATTTATAAGCTGCTTGCATATAAACTACATCATATTGATGTAGTTAATTGAAGATCACTTGATGTTAAACTTTTTTCCGGGACAACGGAGACTTTATGTCACTTGTTATTAGGGGTTTTATGATTATCACCTCTAGCTTTAACAAAATTTTGTATGAAAATATCACTGACCAGAGAACCTATTTCTATAGTAACAACTTCATTAGTAAATGTTCTTTTAGGAAGTCAATCTAGCAACTGTTTTTGATCAAGTGGGAATAATCCAGTTTTTCTAAAGCCTGCCTTCTTACTTTCACAAACTGGTTCTTCAATTTTTTTCATAAGGCATTTAAGCAATTCTATAAACTAGTCTTTTGGAAGGGAAGGAGCTTTATGTCTTTTGTTACATGCACTTTCCTTCCAAGTTGTTAATATTTTTCTCCACTGAGCTTTCATTGGTCAAATAATATGCAATATCCAATGGTTGCATTAAATGCATGACGTTAAGAGGAAGTGCAATAAACTCGATGTTGTTTTTTTCACACAGTACACATTTGTTTATATGTGACGACAAAATGTCTCCAATTAGAACATGCTTTCTAGAAGTTTTTTTTTTAGTTCAGACAACAAAGATTCAAACCAATCTGTAAAACCACTCGAGTCTAACCATCCACACTTTGAGCGGTTATAACTTGTTCCTTTTAGTCCATTTTCTGTCCACGTTATCCACATCGAAATCTGCTTTATATACAATATATGGAGAAAAGATATGCCCTTCTACATTACCACAATACATCAAAGATGTAGCAGACTTTGTTGAATTTATTATCCTCTCAGGTTGTTTTTATCCTTGCTTTGTTAATAATATTTTATTACCAGGGTCATTAGTTAAATTAGTTTTATCATAATTCTAAATGTTTGATGGAGGAACCCCTGCCTGCTCAGGAGTGATATTATCAAAAAGTTATAATTTATAATAACTCTTTCTTTTAATTTTACTTGCAAATCTAACATTTAATTGCTTATTTATCTTAAGGAATAGCTTTAACCATTCAACACCAGGCATATTTGCTGCAAATTGTCTAATAAACATCCCTTCATAGTCTGCTTAAGTGCGTAACTCATAACAGTGAACTGGGAATCCAAAAGGCATAGTTGAAACGTAGTGTGCAAAAAAATATTTTTCAATTTCTTTAAATATGAAAATGCCTGTTTTTTTTATTATGTATACCTTTCTGTTTATTCTTTTTTGTTAATAGAGACATTTTAAAGGTTAAGCAAGCATCTGTTTGTGTTAAGTTACCACTTCTTACTTCTTTTAAACATTTAGTTAATGTTTCCTAAGTGTATGGAATATAACCACAACTCCCAACAACACGTTTATTTATTCTTGGCATGTTTACTTTGTTATAAATATGATTTTTAATTACTATTTTATCCTAAAAACAAAAATTGAAAATTAAACCAATAATCATATCTATTGACAACACTTTCTAAAAAATAAATAGAAAATATATTTAACATTGAAAACCAAATAAATACACTTTTTCACTCAAGTTAAAATTATCCCAAGTTGTGGTCTAAACCACCTCATAAATTTTACTTAAAGTTATTTTTAATTAGAAGTGTTATAAATTTAGCAACTGTTGTGCAATACTCATTCTATATAAATTTACTATTAGTTATAACATAACATCCCACTCAAATATTAATAGCAGTTTCAACCAACACAAAATTTTGCAGCATATAAATTTAACAATTTTTATAAACTCTTATAAATAAAAAAAAAAAAAAAAAAAAAAAAAATCAATAGTTCTGCAAACTACAATCAAAGTAATAAATAAACAGAACAACTTTACTTTCGTAAGGTTTAACTTTTAAAAGTTAAAACTATTTTTTATAAATTAGCCAAAGTCACCTACCAAGCCAAAGTCACCTCATTTTATTGGATAAACAAAGGCTGATGATTGTCGAAAGGCGTGAAACTTACAGTTCCATCAAAAGTTATTTTTATTCATTTTATAAAAATAAATAAATATTCTCTATTATTTAATAGTATTCAGCACTCTTAAACGCACAAGAGTATTTGTATTACTATTATTATACCATAATAATGTATTATATATATATATATATATATATTTTTTTTTTTTAACAACAAGATCTTCAAGATCTTGTTGAAAAAAAAATTACAAATATAAACTAAAATATTAAGAATCATTAGTTTATTTGTAAGAAATGAAAATAACATAAATAACAGTAAAAATGGAAGAAATTGAATACACAGAGTATCCTATAAAGTTAATCAGTCTGGATGACGAAACTATACCTGGCTGTGGTGTGATTGATATTTCATTTAAAAATGTATCAGGCACAAAGGTGGTGTTTAATCTTTATTTTTTTATGTTTATATATATTTGCCAACTTAACAAAAAAAAAGTCTTTATAAAAGTATTTTCTATTATTATTTACCAATTTTGTTTTTGTTTTTATTAGACTTAATACTAGTAACTATATTAAAAACTAATGTAACTGTTGCTACAACTAGTAATACTAGTTATAGCAAAAAATATTTTACTATTGTTTTTATTAATTAAGGTTGCAAAATTGTCGTTTCAAAATAACTACACTTCTTTTATAACTATTAAAGGGAAATCTGTAACAGGTATCATTTTTTTATATTAATATCAATACTTCTATTATATAAAGGAGGTTTTTTCAGGGGTGGGCTGGAGCCGGCTTGATCCGGCTCGCATGAGCCGGTTGTTAAAATTTTTGAAACTTGGCAAATCGCTTGTTAAATTAACCATAAAACCAAAAATAAGCCATTTTAATAGTATTTTTATGCAAAATATGCACATCGCGCTGATCTACCACACACTCGCAAACATATCATGTGCGCAACACAATATACACATCATGTGAGACATAGCATTGGGAATTGAGACTTTATTTTTTTTTTTGTGACAAAGTAACCAATTAAGGTGAATCTTTTTTTTATAATAAAAATAAAATAAAAGTTAGTATTTAGCAATATGGCAATGATAAACAAACACTTACTGCATTTTCAGGTTTATTTACTTAATATTTGATTAATAATTAGAAAATGTAACCTTGTTACCAATCGTAACCAATTAAGACGTAACATAACTTTAAAATGTTAAAGGAGTCCTATTTTAGACTAAGTATAAAAATGCATTGTAAATAGTTGGACTTTGTCTTAGTAAGTGATCGGAACCCTGGCCCATGCTATAAACGAGACTTTTTTCAAACCTGTACAACATTTAGCAGGGGTTGATAGCCTTGGCTAGAAAAAATTTATAATACTTAACATGTTATAATTTTATGCTTACGTTTACTATTTATTAAATACTGGCATACTTTTATATATTTTTAAACTCTAATTTACTTCCAACAATATTGTTAGCAACCACTATTAAGTTATGAGTTACTTTAAAATAGAGAATAAGTTAAAATAATAAGGAATGTATAACTGAAGACTTAAAAAGTTGTAAGTTGTATAAAAAAAGAAAACATGAAGATTTATCTTTTTCCAGATATTTTTTTCAACATTTTTTCTTGCTATAAAAACATTTTCTATACATACAAGTTTAGGTATAAATTTTTGTAAAATGTTTGTTTTTTAAACTTTTTTATTGTCACTCATGGAAAAATATAGGAAAGTTGAAAAAAAAATTGAAATAAGTCAGCTAGAAGCAAAATTAGGAGGTAAATAAGGGAAAATATATTCTGGATTTTTTCTGGATATTTTAACAAACAATTTTCCGGATTTTTAAAATCCGGAAAATTGTTTGTTAAATCATTTTCTTTCCTTGATGTTCAAGGAAAGAAAATGGATTAATAAAAGTTTTTATAGCATGAAGGAACAGATACAGTAAAAGAATGCAATTTAATGAATAAAAAGCCAATTAAGAATGAGTTTTTGGTTTATCGTCATAGAGAAGATTGAGCTTGTTTGAGCATTGACTATGACTGTATTTGTAGAAAAATGAAAGAAATGCAGTCTTAAAACAATAGGAAAGTGGCTCAAGCTTGGCAGGTAAAGCAGGTCTAATCATATTTACAATGTGTTTTTAGACTTTTTCTGAGAGTAAGAGGGTTGTTATTCGTCAATATAGGAATGCCAACAATATTGCAATTTTTTTTTTTGCAGTAAATAAATGAGTATTTTTGTCTAACAAAAATTGTGGATTTTAAGTCCAGAATTTAAATCCACTGCAGAGGTTGTTACAGAAAAGAGATCAGATTTAAAATCGGTTGCTTGTAACATGTTGTTCTAAGCAATTAAAAAGTATAGATTTTTTGTCAAGACAAGAGTATAAAATCACCAGCATATAGAGCCTCTTTAGATTTCATAAAGATCATTATTTTAGATATGAAACAACATAGGAGCAAAGATAAAACCTTGTGGTACCCTTTAAGTTACTTGAAATAAAGAAAAGGGTAGGTCTTCAAGAATAACTTTACTACTGATATTCTTGTAAAAAAGATGAAAAAAAAAAGATTAATGTTTAAAAAAATAATTGCTCAAGATGGTGAAAAATATGGAGTAAAATTAGACTTGACTTGAAATTTAAGAAAAGTAATAAAAGCTTCCAAATTTTTATTCCATAAGGAATAAAAGCTTCCGAGATGCACTTTATGCCTACATATTATGGATATAAACATATATGTTTGCTATTTATTTAGATGTGGCCATACAATATTCTTTCATTGTTATATAAACTTTAGTATTTATATGGTGTAGTATATGCAGAAAAAGATGATCAGATGGATGTGTGGTGTGACTCTAGCAAGACAAGAAAAGGAGGCATAACCTTAGACAAATTAGAAAAAGCGTTGTATCGAGCAATGTTTGTTAGAAAAAATTAAAGTAAGTTAGGTATCAGCATGTAGAGAGGTAACAGCTTTAGTAGAAAATAGAAGTGGTAGAAGTAACAAAACTTGAAGAGAGTGTCTTACATATTGATGAGTTGAAAAAAAATCTCCAGATTGTTTATATTAGAGAAACAGCATAAAAGAGGAAGGCTAAGGCCTGATGAAAATGATCATTATCATCATGAAGGCCTGATGATAATGATCATTATCATCATGAAGGCCTGATGATAATGATCATTATCATCATGAAGGCCTGATGATAATGATCATTATCATCATAAAGGTCTGATGATAATGATCATTATCATCATGAAGGCCTGATGATAATGATCATTATCATCATAAAGGCCTGATGATAATGATCATTATCATCATGAAGGCCTGATGATAATGATCATTATCATCATAAAGGTCTGATGATAATGATCATTATCATCATAAAGGCCTGATGATAATGATCTTTATCATCATGAAGGCCTGATGATAATGATCATTATCATCATCTTTATGATGATGATAATAATGATGATTATGATAATCATGTTGATCATAATAATGTTTATATATGCATATATATATACAAACTATAACATGAATTTTGATTAAAAAATATATACTTTAGGATTTATAAATATTTATCCAGCCCCAGTTACAAACCCGGCCCTGTCTATATTTTATCAAACAAGGCCCCGGCCCCGGTCAAATATCAACCCCGGTCACATTCTACCTTGTCTAGCTATCAAGTTTAAGTCTTTATTAAATTAATAGCATAGTCTTAGTCATAGTTTTTTTTTATATAAAAGAATTGGGTATGGATTTTTTTATATATATATATTATATATATATATATATATATATATATATATATATATATATATATATATATATATATATATATATATATATATATATCTTATACTGTGGGTTTAGGTGAGCAGTCAGACATCATACTGAAATAACCTGCTGCCGGGGGCTTAAGTATGTATATATGTTAAGTCTCAAAAGAAGCAAAAATATTTAAAAATTTCGAAAATAATCATCAAAAATACATTAAAAAAAAAGTTTATATATATTCATGTGTGTGTGTGTGCTAGCTATATATATATATATATATATATATATATATATATATATATATATATATATATATATATATATATATATATATATATATATATATATATATATATATATATATATACATATATACATATGTATATACATATATATACATATATACATATATATATACATATATATATATATATATATATATATATATATATATATATATATATATATATGTATATATATATATGTATATATGTATATATATGTATATACATATATATGTATATACATATATATGTATATACATATATATGTATATATATATATATATATGTATATATATATATATATATATATATATATATATATATATATATATATATATATATATATATATATATATATATCAGTCTAGGTTGGGAAGCAAGAGTGATCGTTCTCGATTACTAACCACTGAAATAATATTTAGTTGCGAAAAATTGGCCAGATTTTTTAGTTGTTTTGAGAACATTTCAAAAAACAAAAAAAATGTGCGAAAAAGATTTATTGGACCGATGTGAGACATTTACAAAAAAAAAAAAATTAACTAGGAAAAAAAAAAAAACTTTTAATGCAAAAAAACTTAAAGCAAAATAAATTACGTTTAGAACAAATATTTTCAAAACATTGCTTTTTTATTATTTGTTTTTGAAGTTAAGTATTTTACATATAAAGTAACATCTTATGATTGCTTAATAAGGAAATAAATGTTCATTTATTTATCAAAAAGTATAATATAATTTTTATTTATATATTTGTGTCTTATTTTCAGTGTTGCATTAAGAAGGGTTGGGCTTAGGAAGGGCTATAGTTCTGGGCTCTGCAATGTTTGGGGCCCCAAAATAGTCAAGAAGACCTTTTTTTTGTCATTTTTCTGTTGTGGCGCATAAAAAAGGCCTCCAAGATAAAAATAGACCCCGGTCCCAAATTCTAATAAGACTAACACTAGTTATAGTTTTATTTAAGCTAAACTTTTTTTTATAAATAAAAAAGTTAATTTTTTTAATAACTTTTTTATGCTTCATGTAGCTTGAAAAGTTTCACATATTTGAAACAATTCTTCTTAGTTAGATAAACAAATGAAATAATTAAATCATTGAGTTATTGTAAATTAACAAAATAAAAATCAACTAAATTATTATAATTATACTGATATTTTCTATATTTATACATATAATTTTTATTATAATATTTCTGAAATTAAATAAATTAAAATTTATTTAAATTTATTCTCAGTATAGTGTAATAAATTAGATTAAAAATATACAATGCAAAGTATCATATTTTACTATAATATAGTAAAATTAAATATAGTAAATTTATAACAAATATCATTTTAAAAATATTTATGAAATGCACAGACTAGTTTTTATTTTAGAAAAATGCAAATAATGAAATTTAGAAAAGAAATTTAGCTCTTGGTTAGATTAAGACATATGAAAAAATTTTTATAAAAAATAGACTTATATATATAAAAATTAAATTTTAACATTTCACTTAAAATCAAAAACTTGAGTTAACAATTATATCAAATGATTCAATCGTGTAACATATATTAGAATCAATTATGATAGGTGGAAAAGTCGCAACAGTCTAGATCTTTCTATATTTATGAACGGTAATGTACTCCATGAGTCATCTACCCTTTGTCTTCTAAGATTAACTCTTACTTTCGATCTTTCTTGGAAACCATGTATTATTAATAAATCTGGATATATTATACAGATCAAAAGTAAAATGTTATTTTACTTTTAGTCTATATAATAAATCTATATAATATTTATAATTAATAAAATTTTTTATTTTAGGTAACTTTAAGACTCTTTTAAAAAATTTTCGTTTGATGCAATTTTGTCATTATGCAGACGATAGTCAGAATTTCTTTTTGATCAAATCTGAGGTTTGTTTACGTTAGGTCAGTTTAAAATATAAAATTATATTTTAAACTAACTTTATTCTATAAACTATATATTGTTTATAAACTAACATTATTAGTAATATTTATTGTAATACTATATTATATATGAGCTAATACTTATTAATAGTATTTATTATAATAATATATTATTTATAAACTAATTTTAAACTAAAATTTTTTATAAACTTTTTTGCATTAACATCATTGCATTGATTCAGGATTTATGTTGCAATGAACCTTTGATTGGTTTGAAGTTTATTTTACGGCAACCATCACCACAGTGGAGATGTTTTAACATTAAAGATATCAAAATTTACAGAAGTACATCTAAAGTAAATCACAGTAATTTTAATAAATTGATGTTTATTGTTCATGTTTTGTCAATAATTATTCTTTACTGATTGCTAATTTTTTTTTTCTTTTTTTAATATTTTAGATTTGATAATTATTTTTTTTTTACAAAAATTTTCTTGTAGTTTACTTTTCTTCAACAGGTATTTACACTTATTTTCTTAAAAAACAAATATATTTATTAATAAGGTTATTAAAATACCAATTTTTTTTTTTTTTTTTTTTTTAATTTACCTCCTCGAGGCTGAGAAGGCCACTACAGATGAGGAGGCTACTTATTTGTGGTTATAGCTCTCTCTCAACTCTATAACTCCGAAAAACGAACCTTGATGAAGGGTAAAAATATATGAAATCATCCAGACCATGACACCCTTACGTCTCAGGATTTGTTTATTTTTACACCACTTGCAGCCCATATCAAAAAAATAATAACTGCGAAAATTTTAGTTAAAAATACCAATGGGTTCCATAGATATTGTCACTTGAAATAATGCTGACTCAGCATTTTAGTGATTTTCTGAAGCGACTACAAAGCAAATTTGACATATAGTATCTTCATAATGGCTTGGGGAAATTTCCTAAAATTTGGTACTCTAATAGATTTTAACTTGAGAAATCCAAAATTAGCACTCTTAAGACTCGATTATCTCAAGAAATGCCTCATTTATCCAATTTTGTTCAAAATTATTGACTTGTAAATTAGTGATTTTTGGAGGTAAAATAAAGACTTTAGCCCAAAATCTAGAGTAAAAATTTTAATTGTATATCATTATTTCATCTTAGGTCTACTGAAAAAAATTAGATTCATCAATTGTCTCTCTAATACGTGATCAAAATTTGCATTTAAAAATGGTGTCTTTTTAGAAAAATTTAATTTTTGTAACAAAAGCAATTAAAATATTTTTTAAAACATTTATTTGAATAAAACATCAAATAGTGTCATTTATTGAATAGTTTAGGACATTTATAGTCATGGGCCAAGGGAGATACCCTCCACTCCCACCGGAGGCCCCTACACCCCCTCCCCCAATCTCCCTAGATTTTTTTTTTTTTTTTTTTTTTTTTTTGCATAAAATGAATAAATAATGCAAAAACATACAATTTAATTTTAATTTTGAAAAAAAAAATTTCATTATTTCAAATTGGTGACTTAAAACCTCCTTTTATATAAAAAAACAAACATAAGTTTTGTTTTGTTCTTTTTAAAGGTATTTACTTGTTTGTATTTTCTTAAAGAATTACTTTTTATTTTATAGTTTTTATATTATTTTTTTAGGTAATAAATAATAAAAATAATTAATATTGAGAAATGTGACATTGGAAAAAGTCTTAACATTCATTGCCACAAAACTGGATTTTCAAGAAAACAAGGTTTAGTTCAATTTAAAGATCTTCCTTGTGAAAAACAAGAAGAAATAATATGGCGAGCAAATTTAAAGGAAAAATATAGTTCAATAAGAATTATATGTTGTTATCATGAGCAATTCTATGGAAAATATTTTGAGAGAAAAATTACAAAGTGTTGCAATCCTTTTGGAACACACAAGGAAAGTAAAAAAATTGCTATAAAAGGTAATCTTACCTTATTTACAACAGAATTGATATGGAAATTAAAAGAAAACAATTTATTATTTATAAAAAGTTTTATAATTTCAGTTATTTTAACAACGTAAAACTAAATTTTTTTTTTAGGTAATATAAAGATTTCCATAGACATGGCAAACTATTTGCAAAAAAAAATAATGTTTATGTAACCCCAGATTGAAAATTCTGCAGTAAATGTTACAAAAAAGCAATAGAAACTGATGAAGATTTAAATTCACAGGAGGAATGGGAATCAAAAAGTGAGAAAAAAATTAAGTTAGATACCACTATAGAATTGCTTGGAATCTCACCGGTCAAACTAAAAAGTCTTTCAAAACACAGCAAATTGCCTGTAGCAAAACAAAAGCTTGAGAACACTATTGACAGAGTTGCAAAAATGGTCTCATTAGCATATAATATTAAAGAAAGTTTTTTAACAACAGAAATAAAAAGCCCCAAATTAAACAACAACATTAACAATGACCATGATCTAGACATTTTAATGTATGAAATATAAAATAAAATTTCAGAGACTGACTTTTATCGCCATAAGGTGCAAATGTTAACACTCGCACCAAAATCATGGACACGTAAAAAGATATCAATCTACTTTGAAGTGTCTGAGTATCTTGTTCGAACAGCAAAAAAAGTTAAAAATGAGAATGGAATTCTATCATTACCCGGGAAAAAAACTGGAAACCCACTTTCACCAGAAACAGTTAATTTAGTGATTAACTTTTATCAAAGTGCTGAATTTTCAAGAATGATGCTAGGAAAAAAAGATTATATAAGTATTAAGAAAAGGCAACATGTTCAAAAAAGATTATTGCTACTCAATCTTAATGAATTACATGTTGCATTTAAAAAAGACTACCCTAACGTCAAAGTCAGTTTGTCAAAGTTTTGTACTCTTAAACCTAAATGGTGTATTACAACTAATGCGTCAGGTACCCACAATGTATGTGTTTGCATACATCACCAAAATACAAAATTTCTCATTGATGCCATTAGGTAGAATAAAAGTTATAAAGATTTCATGGCATTGATTGTTTGCTCTCTTGAAAATGCAGAATGTATGTTGCATCCATGTAACCAATGTCCTGGTATTGAAGCGTTAAAAAGTTTTTTAGTGCAGGAGTTTATGGACCATGAGCATGAAGAAGATGTAGTATTTAAGCAATGGCAGAGTACAGATCGTACAACACTACTTTCACAGTCATTGCCACTAGATGAATTTATTGATTTATTATGTGACAGTATTGACAACCTTATCACTCATTCATTATATTGCAAAAACACAAAGTAGATACTTAAAAAACTGTAAAGAAAATCTTAACCAAAACGAATGCTTAATTTTAGGAGATTTTGCTGAAAACTATTAATATGTTGTTCAGGATGAGGTTCAAAGTTATCACTGGAGCAAAAGTCAATGCTCACTTTATACAGTTGTACTTTATTTTATAGAGAACAAACTTCTCAAACATAAATCTTTTTGTTACCTTTCAGAAGATGTTGATCATGACACAGGATTTATTTACAAGACTCAGGAAGATATAACTAGATATATCAAAGAAAATCTACCTGATGTATCAAGTGTGAAATACTTTTCTGATGGTTGTGCAGCACAATTTAAAAATTTTAAAAATTTTATCAATCTTTGTCATCACAGTAAAGACTTTGATTTAAATGCTGAATGGATATTTTTTGCTACCATTCATGGTAAATCCCCCTGTGATGGTATTGGTGGGACTGTTAAAAGAGTAGTATGTCAAGAAAGTCTAAAACAAATAACTACTGGGCAGATTTTAGATGTTAATTTAATGTACTCCTTTTGTAAAGCCAAGATAAATGGAATTTATTTTAAGTTATTTTCAAAAGAAGAAATTGATCAAACACGAGCACAATTAGAAAAAAGATATTTAGGTGGAAGAACAGTTCCTGGCACAAGGATGTATCATCATTTTATTCCAATTGCTCCAAACACTATAAGTTATAAAAAAATAAGTATTGATGCATGCACTGAAATATTTGATATCATTTCAAAAAGCAAACATTATGTAGATATTTCATTAAATATTAAAACAATGGATTATATTGCATGTTTTTATGATGGATTTTGGTGGGTTGGGATTGTTGAAGATGTAAGTGAGCTTGATATAAAAGTCAGATTCATGCATCCACATGGACCAGGTAAAAACTTCTTTTGGCCAATAAGAACTGAAGAGTGTTGGGTGCTCAATTCTGAAGTTATATGCCTAATTTCTACACCCACAACAATATCAGGTCGTACATACAACATAACTGATTTAGAATATAAACTGTTGGTTACAAAAAAAAATTAATTATGCTTAAAATAATTTTGTTTTTATTTTATTTACCTAATTTGCATTTTAAATGTCTTTTATTTTTTTCAAATCCTTGGATTGTAGGCTGAGAAGGAGGGGTGGGGGTTTAAATAAATCACAAATCACTCCCATCTTATTATGTCAATGACTATATTAGTCTAAAACTACATAAAGATATTTATTGTCAATATGTTTTAAAAACATTTTAAAACATTTGTTTTTGAAATTTATGCCTTAAAATCGTAAAAAGATCATTGAAATAAGAGGTAAGTATTTATCGATTTGAAGTAACGCAAATAAATCGTTTCTCAAACTTAAACTGAAAAAATATGTTTTTAAAATGTATTTTAACAATCAACTATTATTTATTCATTTTATGAAAAAAAAAAATAAAATCTAGGGAGATTTGGGGAGGGGGCGGAGGGGCCTCCCGTGGGTAGGGAGGGCATCTCCCTTGGCCCATGACTTTAAATGTTTATTTAAATTTAAACTAGTCAATAAATAACACTATTTGGTGTTTTATTCAAATAAATGTTTAAAAAAATATTTTAATTGCTTTTGTTACAAAATTTAAATTTTTCTAAAAAGACACCATTTTTAAATGCAAATTTTGATCATGTATTGCAGAGACAATTGATGAATCTAATTTTTTTCAGTAGACCTAAGATGAAATAATGATATAAAATTAAAATTTTTACTCGGGATTTTGGGCCACAGTCTTTATTTTACCTCCAAAAATCACTAACTTACAAGTCAATAATTTTGAACAAAATTGGATAAATGAGGCATTTCTTGAGATAATCGAGTCTTAAGAGTGCTAATTTTGGATTCCTCAAGTTAAAATCTATTAGAGTTCCAAATTTCAGGAAATTTCCCCAAGCCATTATGAAGATACTGTATGTCAAAGTTGCTTTGTAGTCGCTTCAGAAAATCACTAAAATGCTGAGTCAGCATTATCTCAACTGACGATATCTCTGGAACCCATTGGTATTTTCAACTAAAATTTTTGCAGTTATTATTTTTTGAAATGGACTGCAAGTGGTGTAAAAATAAACAAATTCTGAGACGTAAGGGTGTCGAAAATTTTTTTTTGTGGATGATTTTATATATTTTTACCCTGAACAAGGCCGCTGCGCGGAGAAACGAGTTGAGCGCGGTACTACCAGGGACATGGTGGGGATCGAACTTGGAACCACTCGTTTATGAAGCGAGCGCTCTACCACTACACCACTACCGCATTAAAATGTAATTGTAGGTTAATAAACACAACATTTCAATTTGACAACTGAAACTATTTACAAATGACAGGAACCTTGATGGGTACATGCATGGCATCACCATACGCTTACATATTCATAGGCACACTGGATGAAGCCATTTCTAGACAATTCAAACACTGTATCGCCTTCTACAAAAGATTCACTGATGACATTTCTTTCATATTCACAGGCTCGTATAGAAGATAATGTTACAAAATTTATAAGCAACCTACACCCCATCATTAAATTTAGGTTTAACCACTCAGATACCTCAATTGACTTTATGGACCTAACTCTCTAGAAAAACCATATAGGAAAAATACAGAATACACTACACCAAAAACCTACCAACTCAATCAACCTTTTACATTTCAGTTCATATGACCCACATCATATCACATCAAGTCTCATCCATAGCCAAACAATGAGACACAATAGACTTATATATGAGACCTCACAGTGTACCAATTGGTCTTTAAGGAGTACCATCTTGAGATCACCAGCAGAAACATCATTAAAGTCCTACAACACGCATACAAAAAGACCTTTTTCACAAAAGCAAAGAACCTGATGATAACCACATCTTCCCCATAGTCGCACCAACAAGAAATATGGATTAATAATGTTATACTGCACAACCTATATCAATATTGAAATCTATATAAATTCTATGAAATACCTAAACATGGATCCTTGTCCATGTAAATGGAAAAGCATCATAGAAAAACAAAATAATATTATTTATAAATATTTGTTACATTAACAATATTTATAAATCTTGCTGTTAAACAGATGCTTATCAGTTTTCAATTTATTATCTAGTGTTTAGACCGCTATATTTAGTCATGGGAGCCATTATTACACTAGCAAATTTATATAGACTTGTTAACTCATAGGCCATAGTTTTATTATTTGCTTAAGATGTAGTTAGCACTTGCTGACTATGTGCTTGGATCTAAAATCTCACTTCATAGCACATCACTCCACACCAGTATGTTGTCACTGCTTTTTTGGCTAAGAATGATGGCTTTTGGTTTATGGTGACTAATGTGTGCATTTGGTCAAATTAAAATCCATTTTGTAGGTCTTACATCTGTCTTTAAGTGTGTTTAGTTTTCTATTCACTCAATTTGAAAGTGAATAAAAACATAATGAGACTATACCAGGAAAATGAATGGAATATACTAATGCACTACATCATCACATCTTTGACATCAACTCCCTTCAATATTAGTAAATCAAATATTTTTCCTTTGTTGCATATGATCTACGCACAGAGTGACTAGAGCATTAGTTGTTTCTCCCCCTGCCCCCTGAGCATCTATACTTCGTTCTTCTACTTCACAAAAGTCTTATCACTCATTTTATATTTTCTTATGATTTTTATTTTTTATTTAACGATACCACCTACAATCTATTTTTATTATCACATCTCCCAGCTTAACAAAACTGGATGGCTTCATTGGTCACTTTTTGCTATCATTGTGTCACATAAACAATTATAATGACTTCTTAAATCATGTTTTAACAATAATTATTTCTTTACTGATTACTATATTTTTTTCTTTTTTTAATTCTTTAAATTTTACAAATATTTTTTTTTACAAAAAGTTTACTTTTATTTAACAGGTTTTATTTTCTATGATTATTTTCTTAAAAAACAAATACCTTTATTTATAAAGTTATTAAAATACCAAGGTTAGTGGTAGTAAGAAAAGAAGTTTGCTATATATTTTTTGTTCTGCATTTTGTTGCTTTTGTTCTTCTTTTTTTTTTTCTTACTCATTTATTTAAACAGCCCCGTACCTTCCCCTGCTGGGCCTGCTTTTTGGTCATTTAGGTCTCATATATGTTGTTTATACAATAAATATGTCAATTCTAATTCAGACAAACAATCAGCAAATATATAGAATACATTGAAAGAACTGTCCAGCTGGTTCTACTTGCAGAACTAGTTGGACAGAAACACTTGCAGAAAAATCTAGCAAACTACTTTCAAATTCCAATATTGACCTATTCACTACATTCTTTCTATCTTTGGTGGTGATATTGCAAAGTTTGGAAAAACTGTGCTCACAATTCAACACGACGACTGGGACCAAGGAATTCACTATTATGTTGTTATACTATTACCATTCTGGAAAGGCTCTTGAACCTGGATATTTGATCCCAATATTCTTTCAAGACGAAACTTTCAAGAAACATCTAAAGAACTGTAGGAATTACCATCTTGGCAAAGCTCTATTAGGTAGCGCAGTATATGTTGGATCTGTCCAACATTAACTGTTAACGTGTGATGGATGCTACTCTGCTAGACATGGTGCTAGATCTAGAAAATGTTGCATTTCTAATCACCGGGTTGCAATCCAACATCTTTACTCTAGATTACATTTTGACAACTCTATTGCATATAATCTTGTCAAATACATGTTCCATCAGCCAAATGCATATGCAATGAATGTGTCCAATGTCTTACCAACGACAAACCTACCCAAGAAAAAAAACTTTTCAGCTAATAAGAGTATATCAACTTCATCAACCATAAGTTCAAGCAGCCGTGGCGCAGTGGCAGTGCACTTGCCTCAGAAACGTTAGATCCCTGGTTCAAACCCCACCTCTGGACAAGTTTTGCGACATCGGTTGGAAAGGAGGCGTGAACTTCCCATTAAATGCTTTTCCGTGGTGCTCTGTGATAAGACTGTAAGGACTTCTTGGGGAACCTTAATCAACTTAAAAAAAAAATAAGTTCAGAAGAAATGAAGAGTATGAAGCTTAGCAAAGAAAACCCAAGAATAAGAAATCCCAGACAAATGATTTAATCATGGAACAGGTAAAAAATTCAACTAACTTTTTAAGTGTTTCCTGATGAGTATATACCTCAAACAGGCCGTGTACTGGCATTGTCCAACAATTCAGCAATCTTTTTTAACATACACAATTACCAACAATTTAACCAATATTATTTTAATTTAAACAAAATCATTTAAACATGATTTTGTTTAAATTATTTTGTTATATTTATAGAATTATGACATTTTTTCGAGCAAAAATTAAAATCTTTTATAATGTAAAAGATTTTAATTTTTGTTCGAAAAATAGGGTTCAAATTTGGAGGCCTTATATATATAATTTATTTCAAAATTGTTTACATTATTGTTTACATTATTTAATTGTTTTTATTGCACTAATAATAGGATAACAATTTGGCACATACAGGGGTGGGACCGCAAAATGTGAACACTTTTCTGATTGTAATAATTAATTTTCTGTTAAATATGAACTATTTTAAATGTTCAATTTTTGTTTTTTTACATATTATATTTTACTTTGTTTACATATTCATTAGTACTTTGTCTTTCGTTTTTTATCAAATAAACTCAACTACATCTAACGAGAAAATAGTTATAATAAAACAAAAACGTTCACATTTTGCGGTCCTACCCCTGTAATAATTAGGTGTTTCAGTAATAGTGGAAATAATAGAAAAAATCTTTAAAGTCTGAAAAAGTATAACTTTATTTTTGTCAAATTTATTTGTTGAGTTTAATTGCTTTTGTTAAAAATTGACTTAACGAGATTAAAATACTTATAATTGTTTACATATATAATTGATTATTAAGATACTATGTTTTTACCTATATTGTACAGGTTTGTAAATTAAGTACAAAAATATATAATTTGATTAACTTAACACTGTGGTAAAAAATCAGGAGCACTAAAAGCATAGGAACATAAAAATATTAGATGATGGCAATCAATAATAATCAAAAAAAAGCATAGGAACATAAAAATATTAGATGAACATAAAAATATTAGATGAACATAAAAATATTAGATGAACATAAAAATATTAGATGAACATAAAAATATTAGATGAACATAAAAATATTAGATGAACATAAAAATATTAGATGTTATAAGAATTATTTAATTATTATCTTTATTTATTAAATAAACATTAGAAAAGTTATATTTAACAAAAAAAAGTTACACTTAAGAAAAAAAATTAATTTTTGGTCATAATTTTCTAATAATTTTGAGACCAATTCGACTTTAATTAAAAATGCACTTTAATTTTAGTGCATTTTTAATTAAGTTTTAGAGCATTTAGAGCTTTAGAGTTAAGAAAACTTCAACTTTAAAATGTCTTTTAAATCTTGCTTTAATTCTACTCAAGTTTTCTGTTATTGTGTTATGTGTGTTTAATATATGTTGTATATATTTAATATATTGTATGTTATATAAATAACATATATCAATAACATATACATTTAATAAATGTTATTTATATATGTTCAATATACGTTTTTTATATATGTTCAACATATGTTATTTATATTTTTAGCATATGTTATTTAGGTGTGGCAGAATAGTGTTGCAAAATATTGATGGTTGCAAATTTGATTGTCAAAAATGTAGAAAAGGAATAATGTTGCAAATTGTCATATTATTGATTGTCAAATAACAGAATAACGAATAATGTTGCAAATGGGTCGAAAATAAAAAAAGAAGTAATGTCGCAAAGGAGTTAATTAATAGTATTGAAAAAAAAAAAAAGGAATAGTGTCGCAAATGAATTTAATGAATAGTGTCGAAAATAAAAAAAAGAAATAATGTCCTCAAGGAGTTTAATGAATAGTAACAAAAATAAAAAAATAATAACTCTAAATGTGTGTTTAGATAACATGTCTGATATCATACTGAAATATAGCCTGCTGCCGGGGCTTTAGTGGATGCACCAACTATCTTATAGCCTGCTGCTGCAAAGAAGTGCTGCTACATTGACTGAGGGTTTTGGTTTGGTAGCAATCTTTTTTTTCATTATTCTTTGTTTTTTCTTTTTTGTCATTCTGTAAAAGTCATACACTATAAAGATTAGTTAAACAAGTAAGCAATTGTTGAAATTAACTATTTGCAACACTATTCCTTTTTTTTGTTTTTGACACTATTCATTAAATTAGTGAATAGTGTCAAAAATAAAAAAAAATAAATAATGTCCTTAAGGAGTTTAATGAATAGTAACAAAAATAAAATAATAATAACTCTAAATGTGTGTTTAGATAACATGTCTGATATCAAAGCTGCAGGAGATAAATAGTCAACTTAATTTCTCCGCGCAGCAGTCTTGCTTGTCAAGGTTCGTATTTCGGAGTTAAAGAGTTGAGAGAGGGTTGTACCACGATTTACAACAAAAAAAAATAAAGAAATTATTAAAAAAAAAATGAGTTGCTCCTCGACTGTAGTGGCCCCCTCGGGCCTTGGGACTGGCGAATAATTTAAAAAAAAAAAAAATTAATTAGCGACATTCCTTTTTTTTGCAACATTAGGCCTTTTTAATATATTTGACACTATTTTAAAGTTCATTTTTGACACTATTCCTGTCACTCATTATTTAAATATGATCAACATATGTTATTTATATATGGTTATTGTATGTTATTTATATTTATTCAGTATACTTTTGATAGGGTATGGTATACGTGTAAACAAATGTTTATTTTTAATGGTAATTTACTGTTAATAAAAAAAATTAATTAAAGTTCATAGTAATTTAGAAGTATTTTTGTTTGTAATCCAAGGCTACTGTGATAATATTTTTTATACTTTGTAAATTAGGTAGTTTTAAATGTATTTAATAAAATGTGTGCAATTTATTTAATATTATTGTTTAGATAAATAAAGAACTCGAAGATAAACCCTTGTAACAAAGTCTAACATTAGTTACAAAATTTAATGCAAGTAATTATTTTAGTAGTTATTGTTTATTTATCACTATACTAATGTTAATATTTATAGAAGTACATATAAATTTATATATATATGTATATATATATATAAATATATATATATATATATATATATATATATATATATATATATATATATATATATATATATATATATATATATATACATTTGTTCAATATGTATATAGTGTTTTGTTTGTTTGTAAAATAAAGTAGAATGTAATACTTTTGTTTCACGAATATTATTATATACTACATACTTTGATTTAATCTAAGTCAACCATTCAATCATTAATTCATCTAAATCTTTAATACTGTGTAAAGTTGTTGAAGTTTCTAATCCATCATCCAGCTATAGGATGATATTTTTAATTATTTACAAACCTATTTTTAGAGAAAAATCTGTATATTTTTAAATATTTTATTCTTGTTTTAAAAGGAAATTTTTAAACATTGCTAAGTTGTTATTAGATATCTTAATTACTAATTTGTTTATCTTATCACTTATTAACACTTCGCATTGTTTATATCTACTTTTTTTTATGTAAAAACGCACGAAAAAATATTTTTCGCCTTTTAAAATTAATTTCGAATATCGTCTATTACCTGTAATTGTAATTGTTTTAATGACCAAAATTATAAATGTTTTTATAAAATTATTTTAGGTAAAAAGATATGTTTTGCAATATTTTGAAGACTTATGCAAAGCCAACCAAGACGTAGACTTGTGCGTTTCTCTGCGAAGCAAACCAAAACGTAGACTTGTGCGTATCTCGGCGAAGCCAACTCTGGTTGTGTTTTATTTTCTCTGGTTGTGCGTTTCTCTGCAAAACCAACCGAGACGTAGACTTGTTCGTTTCTCTGCAAAGCCAACCAAGAGCTAATCATCAAAGCAAACTAAGAGTAGAACTAATAACAAACTATAATCAAAGGCGTATTTTTTTCAAAAAGTAGTCAAGAAGCTTGACTACATTGTGAATTCGACCAATCAGTTCAAGAACAATTTTGAATACTAGAAGTTACTATAGCACCTTCATAACTAATAAAGTGTTTCCACGCAACCAAATTACGCTCCAGTTATTATTACTAACTATTATAAACAAAAAAATTCAGCAATGAAACGTAACATTTGAACAAAGTTATTGTGACATTTTTATTTGAATAAGAGACGAGGTAGTATTATCCAGTTTTTATGGGGCAGGTAAGAATGTAATGCACGCCACATAACTAATTTATTGACAAATAAAAATACATTTCTTAAAAAAATGGTACGCAATTACAAAAACAAATATGAAAAAACCTGTCAACAAAGTTAATTTAAAAAAAAGAAAATGAACCCTGTTTTGATTAAGTAGTAAAACTTAGAGAAGTTGAGGATAACATCATTAGCCTTCTGATAAAAATTCTGAGTTGTTAAGACTCGAAAAATTAAAACTTTTTGTGAAAATGTTAGTAAATCAGATATTTACTAACTTAAAAAATATTGCTAGAAAATTAAGTATCAACATAATCGAAAATAAATATTTTGATACATTATTCTAAAATTTAAACCCTTTATAATCTAAAAAAAAAATAACTAAAAATACCTAATATTCTTAAAAAAAATATTTAACTATAAAGAAACAACAATTTTTTAAATTTATGGAACGGTTTTATTTAGTTTTGTTACCGACTTTGATTAAATCGACTAAAAGTCGACTGGTCAAAAGTCGAAATTAAACAACTTTGAATAATCGAATAGTCACGAAATAATAGAATAATTTGATCGACTATAGACTTCCTACTAATTGACTAAAATTCGATTTAGTCAAGTAAAAATCTTCACATCTTTTCATTCGATTTAGCTTTTCAATCAATCGATTTTTGTTTGTCCATTTAATAACTAGAGTGTGTACTATTAGGGCAAAGTCGGGACTGCGGGTGTTTTCGGCCTCGAACGGCGGGTAACTCCGGACACTTGATGTACAGCTTAAACTTAAGAAGTTATGTGATTTTAAATACTATAAAACATTATTTGAGTCAAATATATGGCATATGCAAAATATCATAATACGTCGAAGCGAATGGCTTGTAGTGCAAGATATTGTTTCCCACGACGAGAAGAGCAATATGTCTTCATATTTGATTCACATTAATATATCTAATTTTATGTAAACTAATAACTTCTTATCGATTAAAGATACATTTTTATTAGCTATATTTGTTTTAAAAAATATTCGTTTAATTTACTGGTTTTTTAACTAGAATTTGCGAATGAGGTATGATCAGGTGGTATCGCACACATGTTTAGAGGGTGGTTTTGCGCAACTTAATCCATTTGCGCATTAAGAATGAGCAACTTTTTATATAAATAATTATACATTTAATATAATATACGAACCCATAATAGTAATTTATTTAATTCCAATAGAAACCCCTAAGATTTGAAAAAGTGTTTAATTTCATTAGTAAAAAGCTTATGTTTATGTTTCTAAATGATGACATTTTCATTCCCATTCCTTACATATCAGAGTCAATTTTAACAGACAATTTTTTTTTTTAATGTGTTGAGAACATTCCAATGCTTATTAATTATATATTATATTTGTGTCAAGCTGGTAAATATGAGTTAAAGTCGTAGTTAAGCTATGTGCCCGGTATTGTATTTTGTAGGCTACCATCCGATTTTGAAAAATCTAACATTTTTCCTTTTATGTTTTGTATATTATTTAGGTACAGAATAATTATTTTTTATTTCTAATTCAATAAACAAATGTTTATACTTTTAAGTCTTTTGACACTTTGTTTTCTGTTAGCACATGTGTACAATCTATATTTTCCTTAAATGTCCGAAGCTACGCGACTTTTCTCTATAACTGTTGTATTGTTTTTTTATTTACTCTCTTAGAGTTCTAATTCATAGCATGTTAGCATTATTTATAACTAATTAAACTTTTGATTATGTACTTCATTGATTTTTTTTCTTGTTTTTACTAAATGCTTGTGATTTTCATAAATACTTTTATAAAGGGCTGCTCCAAGCTGGCTCGTGGCCCTGGATCAAAATTAGGTTGTGAAAAAAAAATCTAAATGTCATTAATCTGTACAATTACATTGTAAATATGATAAATAATGACTTTTTTGATATATAGTAAGTATTTAAGGCAGTACCTAAATTATTGAGGTCTGGAAATAGATTGTCCCGTTGTCGGAGTGACCCTTCTTTTCTCCATTTTTATTTAAATGTTATGATACTAAATTACAATTTGTTTCAAAAAAATAATTAATTATTCGCATACTTCGCATACTAAATCGATTTTTATTCGACTTAGTCGATTTCAAAAATGTATTAGTCGATTTTATTCGTCTTTAGAAAATATATTAGTTGATTTCAAATATATATGGTTTGAGGCAAAAAAAATCATTTCCATTATTCTTTTTTTCGTTATTCTTTTATACAGAGATGGAAAGTATCGAATTATACCAACTCGCGTTACTGTAATTGAGTAGTTTTTTTTTTGTAAATTTTGTACTTTTATAAGTATTTTTTTATATGTTAGTGATGTAAGTTATTCAGTAAAATTTGATTCAAAAATTACCGGTAAATTTTAAATAGGAGAGGGTAAATTTTCCTTCAAAAAAATTTTTTTTTTTTTTTAAAGAAAATAAAAAAATGATTTATAAATTTACTAAAATGGCGTTAAATTTTCAAAATTTTCCAGTAAATTTTACCTTCGCAACACTAAAAACTTTTACTTGAAAGTTTTTTATTAAAGTATTATACTTCTCTACGTATCATATGTTACTGAATAAATTTTTTTTGTACGTATTTGTATTGTTTAATTTCACAAGAAGTAAGAAGTAATTATTTTTATAACTTTGTTTCTTAATAGTATTCACTAAGGGATTGCGGTAATGAGAAAAGTCGGTATTATGTTCTGGTCGGTATTAATAACCAGTCGCTACCGAAGTTATGATATTAAAATTGAAAGTAAGTTTTTTAAAAACCAACACTTTTAAGTTCGGTATTGAACGGTATCTTTTGATAGTTTTTGATAGTGGAAACTTAAATTAACTTCACTATCAAAAGAACCTAACACCTCTATTGATTAGCCCGCCTAAAAAGAACTTGCTATTTACAGTATTTAAACTCATTAACTTAACGAATGCTCCACTTAATCGGCAAAATATTAGCGCCATCCATCAATCACTTGAAAAAAGATGACTAGCTAATATTTGATCACCAGCATCAACGCGAAATTTTTAAAAGCTGTATGAAGTTACCACCAAGAAATATTATTGTTTTAATTATAGGAACAAAGTTTTTTTAGTTATCAGAAAAAAGTTTTAAACAAGAATTTTTTAAATCAACCTCAATAGCATTACTTTTGGGGTTGCAACGTGAATGTAATGCATTGTAAAATACAACTTTTTCAGGTTATTTAAAATCATGAACAGCATTACCCCATTCTTGATGAGGCTTGAAAACTAAATTTAGTATTCCGGACTTATTTGGAATACTAGCACATAGCAAAGTAAAAGGAAAACAGCTCAGCCTTCTTTGTTTGAATAAACTTTTTATAAGAATATTTAATATTATAAAAATTTTATTAAGAAGTAAATTTTTATCGATCAAATTGAAATAAAAAGGGATTCCGTAACAAAATTTTTAGGTGTTTATCTTAATGAAAACTTTTTTTTTTATTAAAACTTTCAAAGAGAGTAGACGCTTTTTTTTTTTTTAATTAGCGTTTTTATTTGTTTCAAATTCTTATTACTCGAATATATTAATAAAGTTTGTCATACTCAACTATGGAAGTATTAATTAAAAATATTGAAAAGTCAATGAAAAAAATGCTTGAAGATCATAAGGTATTTATTTTAAAAGAGACTGAACGACTTCTTCGTGAACAAGAAATTAATTTTGCAAAAATAACATCTGCCAACATGAAATTAATAACAGATAGATTCGATAAAATTGAAAAAGAAATGCAGAAAAACGCACTAAATGTTAAGAAAATTATAATCGACATTATAATCGAAAGAGCACACAGGTCAGGTCCATTAAAACAAGGTAAAGAGCGAACGATTATCATCAAACTTTTAAACTTCAACGACAAAAAGTTAATTCTACAAAATTCAAAAAAACTACGCCGAACAGGTGTGTTCGTAAACGAAGACTTTGCAAAGGAAACAATAGAAAAGAGTAAAAACTCTGGGATGAAGTCGTTAAATTGAGAAAAGAAAGTAAATACGCAATTCTCAAGTTTGATTCAATTTTTTGTAGAGATCATAAAAAATAATTTTTTTTCTTTTTTCTTTTAAACATTTAGTCAGTCGCGTAGCTACCATATAGCAAAGTAAGGAAATGCCTCATAAAATTAAAAATAAAAGCGGCTGTGAGCTGTGGCCAAAGCTAAAAGGGCCCAAGAGTTGAAAGGGGCCCTTTTAGCTTTGGCCACAGCTCACAGCCGCTTTTATTTTTAATTTTATATAAACAATTTGAATATTTTATCTAGTTTTCATTGCGATTCTAATTTTTTACTTTATAGAAATCTTTCAGTTAATTAGTCCACCCCTCCCCTTTTTATTTAGATTTCTCCTAATATGTAAATTACCAGTGTTTTCATTGGTTGATTTTAAAATTTCTATTCATTGTTTCTTTTCTTTTATATCTCCCTTTCTCTTAAGAAATTTATGTTTTCCGTTTTTCTTCTTTAGATTATCTGAAGCATTGCAATAACCATATAGTGCTTTCTGTTTAGGGAGTTTAAAATTGTACAATTTATCCTGATCATTTCCATGTTATAAGAAAACATGGAGCTATTAAAGAGTAAAAGTGCGTTTCAAAAAAGAAAACTTAAAAAACAGAAAGAAGAAGCATTAAATAAATTACAAAAGCTAGACAAGTTTATTATTAAAAATAATAATAATAACCAAGAGAGTACTCCAGATGATGCATCAATCGAATGTGAATGTTATGATGAGTTAAATATTTTAGAGAAAGGTTATACAGAAGTGATTGCTTGTAAATCAACTAAAGCAGACTGTAGCGATGGAGAAATTAAAAAAATTTCAGATGAAATAGTTGACACTGAAGATGCTCAGGAAGTTTTTACAGGTATTATTGAAAAAAGTATCAATTATACAAATACCACTATATGTAGTGACCTAGGAAAATATTTAAATCAGAGCATTTCTGATGAAACCAAAAGATTGCTGATAAGCATTCCTGTTCACAGACCTATAGGACCATTTCCCAAAGGTCCTAGTCAACAGAACAGAAG